TAAGATAACATCTAAGTTGTGTAAGGGCAAACAAGTAAGGTTTAAAATAAAGTCTTTATTTTGAATGGTCAATACACAATTGAGACATATTCTAGAAGTAAGGGTTGATTCAGTGGTAGGCACAAACACAGACAAATCATAAGGCAAATGTGTCACAACTAAGTTCAGATCCTTGACACATTCATTAGAAATAAATGAATGAGTGACACCTGAATCAAATAGTACAATTAAGGACTTACCTCCCATTTTCCCTTCACCCTGTATAAGATCTTCAGATTTAGAGGCTTCTGCACCACTCAAGGTGAAGACTCTTCCACTAGTTACAGGTTTCTGGAATCTTATCCTTTGTTCTCTAACTGCTGATGCCTTTTTTGAAATATAATCTCTAGCCAAATGTCCTGGTTTGCCACACACAAAGTACACTTGGTAGTAAGTAACAATCTTTGGTTAAATGTCCTTTCCAACATTTCTAGCATTTCAGAGTTGATTGCAGAGTTGATTGCTGAAAGGGTCTATTATTTGCTTTACTAGATTCAGCCCCTCTATATCCTTTGAATTGTTGAGGTACAGGTTTGCTATAGGGATTTTGATATTGATTGGTTTTGCCTTTCTGTATTGGCCCTCCTCTAAGCATACCACTTTTATTTCCAATGTCCCTGTTTCTCTGAATCATGTCCATATCTTTTATCACTTTACATCTATCCATCAACTCTAGAAAGGATTTAATGCCCAATGGAGTAACTGCCCTTCTAATATCATATCGGAGCCCTTCTTCAAATTTCTTGCATTTCCATTTTTCATCTGAAGTGAGTTGTAAATATCTGGAATATTTTGCCAATGACTCAAATCTGGTAGTATATTCTGAAATTGTTATACTTCCTTGATAAAGTTTATTAAATTCCAACTCCTTTGCGTTCCTTGCACTGGTAGGAAAATATTTCTCTAAAAACATGGTTTTAAATAATTCCCAAGTAACTTTTTCTCCTTTAGTTTCCAACATTTTCAAACTTGCCTTCCACCATACCTTCGCATCGCCTTGCAATTGGAAACTATGGGATACTTTCCGTTCATCCGGACATTCCATAGCTACAAAAATATCATCTAGGGTCTGAATCCACTCTTCAGCCTTCTCAGGATCATATTCTCCTTTAAAATATGGCAGATCATTTTTCTTGAAGTCAGCTAAAGTCGTTTTATCTACAGTGGCATGCTGTTGGGGCAAAGCTAGCTGAGTCAATGCAGCAGTCATATCCCTTATGGCTTATGCCACATCGACCATAGGATCATGCCGAGGTGGCATTTCTACCTACAGTTTATTTCACTACGTTAACGTCTGCTGATAGAAATTCTACCTATCTTATATATTTAAAATTTTTCTTCACAAATAAAAACAATGATCACCCTAATCAACTTGTACTCATAAGTCCTAAAGATACATAACCAGAGCTATGATACCACTAATGTAACCCCCTTACGGATTACATATACTACTCTCTTAACTTTAAATAGTTAAAACTCACTATAGTAAATTTATGTATAAAAAATTTAAAATCATTACTATAATGTCTTCATAAACATATCATACACTGATATATATCATCGTATATAGTTACAAAAGATTACTAAGCTATACTTATAACTATAACTGTTACTATAAATTCTTAACGCAACTCCCCTTCCTATACTCTAGTATTGCATCATGATTCTAACATTAACTCTCCATCTGCATTTATAGCCTTCCAAAATATGTTTTTAAAATATTTATGAGGTTAGACATTTAATTTTACCCACGGCAAACAAAGCAAACATTCATACGATAAAATCAACCAATAAAATATTCCTTCATAATAAGTTCATAACTACATATAAATATACAACCATATATAATTTAATTCGAAAATTAATTATGAGAAACAAATAAATCAATCATGGAAACATAATAGAGAATATCATATAAATCATGAATAATATACAATTTCATCATGTAATATGTTTATGATATGCACATGTGACTCAAAATGTAAAACTTTAAAATCATGCATTTGACTCTAAAAATATCATTTTTTGACTCAGTGCTCCATGGAGGCTAATATGAGTGTCTAGTGGAACCAGAGCTTAACATCACCCTGTCCGGTGATTCGGCAATGTCCCACTAAACACGAACAAATAGACAGTAGTCAGAGTGTCAGTGCACTCGAAAGGCTACCACGACACAAAATCAAATAAGGACTGACTACTTATGGGATTGCCCATGCCCAAATACTCCCTAGACCAAAGGTCCAACCCCATAGACCAGAGGTCCTGTTCTACCTATTCTACTCCCCCATTTACTATCAGAGATACTGGTAGCTCGATTCTCAATCATTCATTCTCTTACATTATCTATCTCATTTGGTTGGCCATTTTCGTAGTCATATTCCGCTATTAGATATTCTTGATAGTAAATTTTCAAGAAAATGACTCACAGAAATATTTCTAAAATTCTGTTTTGCACATCATTATTACTACCAATCGTCCTTGGTAGCAACTTAATAGAATTTTCCAAATACTTTTATGTGACTTTCAGAAAACATTTCATGCACTATGTTTATGTCTTGTATGAAACAAAACAACCTATCAAATACTTAGAAACATTTCATTCATATATTCAAAATTTCAATTACAATTCATAGTTGTTTTAACACAAAACAATTTCTATTAATAATTTATTTCATAGGGTTCAGTGTTTTGTCCATATCTCGAGTTCTAGACCTCCTTTTAAGATGATTCCAATTGTGTTGGAAAGATAAGACAATAACCTATAACTTTGATGAAGGCAATATCCTCAAATTGGAACGTTTACTGAGTCATTTTCCTAATAAACAAAGAGGTGATAATATACTATTTGACTTTATCTCGATTATACTCTTAACATTTTTCAAAATTCTATTATGTCCTAGGTTGTAAAATGACCATTTTACCCTTAAACATTTCCTATTATTTCATCCATGCCGTAAAATCACTATTAAATTACCATTATACCCTTAATCTTTTTCAAAATTCCATTTATGTCCCTAGATTGTAAAATGACCATTTTACCCTTGAACTTTTCCTATTATTTCATTCATGTCCTAAAATCACTATTAAATTACCATTATACCCTTAATCTTTTTCAAAATTCCATTTATGTCCCTAAGATGTGAAATGACTATTTTGCCCTTAATCTTTTTAAAAAATTCTCACTTTGTCCCTTTCTTCTTCCTCACTTTCAGTATGTCATTTTCAACATTCCAGATTCCAAATTTTTCAGTTTTAGACAACCAAACTAGTTCCAAATCTAAATTAAACCTAAACATATTCAATTTAAGTTAAAAACAACAATTTTAATATATAATTTATCCTTGATTTCAAAAATTAATCTTTTTCAAAAATTCTCACCATATCCCTTTTCTTCAATCTTTGCCTAGTAATCAAATTCAGTTTCTCCAGATTTCAAATTCTTACGTATCAATCAATCAAACTAATTTTAAAATCAAATTAAACATGGAACTTATTCTATTTGATTCAAAAACAACAATTTTACCATGTAATTAATTCTTAATTTCAAGAATTGCATCAACATTTCAAACTTTGCAAAACAGGAAACAATTATCAATTATCTTCAAAATCAGACATTCGTATGATAAAATTAAACATCTAACTCATACGTGATTCTTCCAAAATCTTATTACTTTCCTAATTTCTTATGTTTCTCCTTTCCTCCTTTCTCTCGAATTCTCTTCTTCTCAGTATTCTGGTGCCTCTCTCTTTATTCTTCAAGTTGGCCGTGAATTGTGTTGGTGTATGTTTTCAATTTTCTTCTATTTATAAACTTACTTACCGACTTAATTCCTTCTAGGATTTTCTTCACTTGTCTTAATTCTCCACCGCTTTCTTCACCAACTTAATTCAAATGTATTTAGGTCACCATCGACGTTTTGTTTCTCTCTTTTTGTTTTTATTTTTTTATCTAAGTTTATTATTAATATTTTTCACTTATAGTAATAAATTCCTAAATATTTATTTATTCATTTATCCTTAATTTAATTTAATTATTATGAATTATCAAGAAATTATTATATTAACCTTGAATTTTTCTTTTATTATTTTTCCGATAAAATTACTATAATCATATTTTATAATAATTCTACATAATACTCAGTACATATTTATTACAATAATAACTTACAAAATTTATTTATCTAATGGGTTGCAAACCTAGATGTTACCATTTTTTTAATATTATTAAATAACTTTTTAAGTTTATTTTTTAAATTTTATTAAAAATTTAAAAAATACTTAATTATGAAAAATATGTTGACTTAATTTTGATTAATTAAACGTTGATTAAATGATTTATTAAATTTTGGTGTAATTATATTTTTATTGTTATGTAATTGATAAATTTTATGAACTTATCTATTAATTTAGAGAATAGATATTAAATAAATGGATTGTTTAGTTATTTCAAATTTTATTAAGAAGTCATTAAATTGGCATATGTCTAATTTTAACTGATAATCATCAATTTCCTTTTGTAATTTTAATTTCATCTCATTATATGTAATGTAACATGGATGTTTTTCTAAGTGAGTGTTTTAACTCAATATTTATTCTTTTTATATTTTATATTGTGAATTATTTTATTTTATACTGTGTATTTTATACCTTATATTATTTTCAAACAAGTTTAAAATTTATGTCATAATTTCACTCTATTAATAGTTGCAGTGTTTAATATATGGAGTACAATACATTGAGCAAAATAATGTAGATATCGGAATGGTTAAAAATAAATAATGCAATATAAAATATAATATTTAAAAAATATTTTTAATGTATATTATCTATCAACGCTAACGTCATATATATATACAGGGCGTTTAATTTGTGCCCGCCTCTCCAGACTGCAGCTTCTCCGTTCTCTTTGCCCCAATATTCCTTTCCCAACTTTGCAGTTCATATTTTTTGACTTGCGTTGAATGGCGTTGTGCAAACGCGCTTTTCATTTGTGTTCCAATCATCGTCTCTGCCTGGCCAAGTACCGCGACTTCCTGTGTGGACTCCCTTCCACGACGTCGCGCAGTAGCAGGCACCTTTCGCAGGCCCCGAACTCTAACCTAAAGCGCGTGTTCCTCGTCGATGCACTTGCGCTGGTAATTATCAATTACTCTTTGTTCGATTTAAATGTTGCCTTCGTTGTTTGGATTGTGATACAAATTTAATTGCCCTAGGTAAGGGGTTTAGAGGCCAAAGGAGTTCCGTCCAAACAGGCCGAAGCGATAACTTCTGCACTCACCGAAATTCTAAATGATAGTTTGGAAAATGTTGCTCATTCTTTTGTTTCAAGAATAAAAATGCAAAAGGTGAGGGAATTCTCTTGTTTCTTTTCCTTTTTTCACGAGGCCTGAATTAAGCGATACAGATTTGGGGCTATAATCGATTTGCGTATGTTTTCCTCTGGAGTTGCGCAGGCAGAGGTGCTCCAAGAATCGAATCTGTCCAAGTTCAAATCTGACGTGCAAAGTTCTCAGGTATGTTTTTACCGACTGTGTTAAGAAATTTCGCCCCCAGAATGGGGATGAGAAAATTTCTAATTCTCTCTCATGGAGTAATTGGATTTCTCCTTGCGCGTGTGTATATGTATATATCAATTTAATTTTTAGGAAATTCATGTACAGACATTATAGCAGTTGGTTATTCCCATGGAAAAAGTTCCCACGACTAGCCATCTCTGGACATTGTAAGAATTAATGTTTGTCTTGGAATTTGGAACCATTATAACTTTAAGGGTTCAGCTAACAAATACCACCTGTCCCTTGTTAAGGATTAAAAAAATATACAATGTTTGTTGTAAAGTATGATATTTAAATTCAAATTTGCTGAAAATACACTAAAAGAGGGGTTGAATAGTGTACTTTGAAAATTATCGTTTTGTTACATATAAATTGGACGTGCTTGAATGAGTGTGAGAAAGTGTCCAAGATGTTGGATAGTCTTTTCAAATGGATCGTCCAAATGAGTTTTTCACAAGATAACTTTATCAAATACAAACGTGTGTGTTTTGTGTTTAGATGAAAACAGAAAATAACAATTGCAAACAAGTGAAGTAGAAATACTTAAATTTTTCTAGTTATTATGACCTGAGCTATATTTAGTTCTCCTTCGTCATCCTGTTAAGAGTCACTAATCAAACTGATTTCAAACCAAATATTAATTCTTGTCACTTTTGGCTTACAAGTATTCTCTATGTCTCATCTCTGACTTACAAGTATTCTCCATGTCACTTTTGGATCACTAGTATTCTTTCTGTCACTTTTGGGCCACAAGTATTCTTTATACCACTTCTAGTTTAGACTAAAGACTTCCCCTAAATCTTTAGAACACTCAAGTATTATTTGTTATTAAGACACTCCTTATTTTCACAAAGAATAATTCTTTATTATAAGAATTAATACAAGAATTCAATAGCACTCAAGATAGTCAATACAACACTTATGAACATAATATAAAATGTTTCTCCTAGTGAGGACTATATCGTCCAATATTGCAAAAAAATTTCTTAATCTTATAGGGCACTTGAAAAATATTTTTCATCATCACTATATTAAGCATGCATGTAATGGTAAATGGAGAGTTTTTATTTTTCATAGTTTCCATTTTTCTTCTCTCTCAATTTTCTAGTGAAGTTTACAAATGATTTGTTTTAGTAATCCCCTTAAAACTAATAATTGCAAGTTTAAAATCTGAAAGACAAACTCCTCTCAGCTTCTTTTTTATAGTCTTGTAGTAAGAGTGTGCAATAAACCACTTCCATCCTAACCACTGCAGTTTTATGTCCACAAAACGAGCTAACATGTGCATAGAAGACATCTAGTTTTGTTTTTCTTATTGTAGTTACTATTTTCTATTGTAACTACCGAAGGATGAAGGTAATATTAACAATTTAATCAAGGGTGGTGTAAAATGTTTCTCTATTGTGCATAAAGTATTCAAAAAAGTTATTACCGTCTTAAATAGAAACAAAATTGAGGCTTAAACTTTAGTTTGTGCTTTGTTAAATTGTGTTGATAGGTTGATGTGAGGTCTCTCTTTCTTTGGTTCTCTATTTGGGTTATAGGTGGGGTCACACACACAGGTAAGTGGTGGGAGAATCAATATCACGTTAATGATCCCCCAAGCATTACATGAATCCAACTAAGTGGGGAGCCTAGATTTTAGTATTTAAATAGCATGTGCTCTATCTGTATATTCCATTGTTACTTTGTTCCAAAAGGAAGTGTTAAATGTAGATGCAATATAGGAAGGGAAGAAAAACTCATATGTGGTAGGAAAAGGGAAGTAGAGGAGATGGTTGGCCTTAGCTTGAGGATACTACTCAAAAATATGCCATACAACAGTGGTTTCAACTGCTTCTGCTAATTAAAATTAAAAGTTCAGGCTTGTGTGTCATGAATATCAGGCTTTTGTCGATTCAGATGCAATGTATGGAATTAGGATTTGGCATCAAAAAGTTAAAATTATTTGTGTACTGCGGTGGTCAATATTCTGTGACCATAACTTCTTCTATTGGGGAGAAAAGAAAGTTATGTATAGGCATAGTGTTGTTTTGTGCTATTTTGGCCAAGAGTGTAATTGTTAAAACTCATTTTCAATGATTGGTGATGCAGGAGCATCATTTTTCTCTGTTGCAACGTGAGACTGAAAAGCTTCGTAGTGACATAGAGAAGATGAGAAGTGAATTGAGGTATGCACCATGGAGTACCAAACAAAAATATTTTCCAACTGAGTAAATTTGATTTCCACTGTTTCAAATAATACTTCAATGTCTTTGATTATTTGTGACAGGTACGAGATTGACAAGGTCACCGCTGGACAACGTCTAGACCTGAATCTTGAAAGAGGGTAAGTGAAATTATGAAAACATATGGATATTTTTAAACAAATTCGTTTTGGGAGATAATATTTTCCCCTTGGACGCTCTCTGACGAAGCTATACAAAATGATCACTTTCCTAAACATAAAATGCACTAATCACAATTGTAATTTTTTGGTACTCTCACGAAGCATCATTTTTTTTATGTATTTCTCAAATATATGTACAGACGCACACGTGATGAGCTTGCTAATCAGAACGCTGAAACCTCCAATTTGACAAACAAACTCGATCGGGTGAGTTTATGATTATTTTAGTTTTTATTGGAGAAAATTCGGTTTGGAATGAAATCTTTAAGTGGGATATGGATTTCAGGAAATTCATGAATTTAGAGCCCAGGTAGAAGCTGCAAAGTATGATGTGATCAAATACTGCATAGGTACTCTTGTTTCCATATCTGCAGTGGGTCTCGCTGTAATCCGCATCATATTATAATAGTCTTCCATAAATTGAGTGGAGGTGAATTGTATTTTTTTTATTGAGGTTTCGGTTCACATTTTTCCCAACGATTTGGTAAGTTAGAAGCACCAATTTTCTTCCATTGCTACCACAAGGCTAAAGTTCCAATTGTAGTATTTTTTGGGTTAATTTTAAAATATCCCCCTTTTCTAAATGTGCGATCTTATACCTGCCCCCAGGGAAAAGGTTGCTGGGATTGAATTGCACCATCCGATAGTAAACGGTTATTATATGTTAATAAGAAGACTAGTGAAACGTTGTTGTTATAAATGGAATCTTAAAGAATGCACTGATCATGAGTCTTGATGTTGAAAGGTTTTTAAGAAAAAAAAAAGTCTTGAGCTTTTAATGGCCATCAGCGATATTTTTTGCAAGCCCCGCCAAAGAAAAAATGAACAAAATCTTTAAAGATTCGTTGGGTTTGATTATTAGAGCGACGTTTGGGGTTTAATGAAGTGAAAGGCTAATGTGTTATCGTCTCTCAACCCAAGATATTTTTTCTGTTCTTCAGTCCGGAGATTCTTGTGGTGGTGCCCAAAAGTTGGAGTTCCCAGCGTCTGGTCCACCAGTAAGAAGGATAACACAGTCTGTTTATATATTCAGCTTTCTAGAATTTTCAGTAGAGATTAATTCGGAGAAATAAATAATTACCCATGTTTGAAGCTTTTAATAATAAACTGATAAATATAAATGAATGTTTTTAAAATAAAGTTGAACCAAACTAAAAAATAAATGTTTCTGATGAGACCTAGAACGAAGATTATTCCTTGTTGCAAGCTTAAGCATTAACATTACTTACTCAAGGTTGCTAAGAATTTTCCCACGGATCTACTTTGTTTGGTAGCCGTCATGTCCTGGTTTAAATTCTTTTGATTTTTCTTTTTTCTTTTTGCAATTTTGTAATTTTGTAATGAGATAATTTGATTGGTGTAAGATTTTTCTTCTTTATGCCTCCAACCTCCCCTTTCTAAAATACAACATCTGATGATTTTCTTTAGGTTGAAGACATTGGTCATATTATTAACCTAGCAAAGGTAGCTTTTATAATATTTTATTACGTTATTGTATTGAAGGTAATATTTTTACTATCGATGAAAGAGAGGAAGCATTTGTAAAATTAAATTGCATGTTTTTGATAAAAAAAGTTTAATTTCTTAATTTTTTTTAAAATAGTTAATATTTCTTTACTGAATTAATGTTAATTAACTCTTGCTACAGGTAGTATTTAAAGCTAAATTTGTAATGATACTTTAATCTGGGATTTCTTAATGGATTAAGACTCGATTATTTAAGCTTACAAATTATTTTAAGAATGGATGAAAATTTAGTGAAGGTGTTTAAGAGTTTTATGAAAAGCAAATCTAACTTTCTTTATTCACAAATATAGAATCATTTTTATTCCGACTCTAGTACATTAGTTTCATGTGGAAGATATATGTAATCTTTACCCGCTCTATCATATTATTTATTACATTCTATAGCTCTACTTTTCTCTTTCATGGTTGAAATTTTTTTGTAATAATAACATTAATAGATTAAAAACTTCCCTCACATGCGTATTTTCCTTGAAGAATGTAATAACATACTCTAAATTTACAAAAACTATACATTCGATATATAAGAATTGGAACTCACATAACTTAGTGATTTTCAACAAATTTACAATAACATTTATCAATATCCATTTTGCACATTTAAACAAAGTTGATAGCAGCACCAGAAACTGGACTCCAATTTTGACCACGGCTGATCCTTTTTCTAATGATGGGCCAAAAAATGGAAACTTTTTTTTAGCAATTGCTTATTTGTTTCCCTGTTGAAGAAAATATTGAATAAGTGGCTCCTTTGTGTTGCTTTCAAGGCTTTGTTTGGCTGCCGTATATAAAATGAGCCTTTTTTTTTTCACAAGAGAAAGAAGATAAATGGTTTCTTTGTCCCTGCTTTTAAACATTGGTCTTCATGTTCATTTTCCTCCTTTTGTTTCTGCATGTGGTTCTCCTTTTCTGCTTTTGTTTTAGTTTGAATTCCTATTATTTCCGAGAGAAAGCTTCTTTCGTGGTCACGGGACTCTGTTATTAATGGTTCATGAGATTGTGTTATTACAAGATCCCAGCTTTCTGAAAGAACCGAAATTGTAGATTTCTCGCTAGAAGCAAATTGAACGAGGAGTTCTTTGCCTTCGTTAATTGACCTTCTCGAGTTAGATTGTAACCACTTTTATTAGTTTGGTAAGACTCCATCGTTTACGTAATTCATAATATCCTTCACATATTCCAACCTACTGATAGTAAATTTTAAAGGTTCTAAATGCAATTGAATAAAGAGAATAATTGAATTGTTTGCAAGTTGTTTATGGTGGAATTCCGATCGATTTTGATTTTTAAAATATTTTGATCCTAATCAAAATTCTACCACGTAAGTTCTTTTTCTTAGGCTAACAAATCAATTTTCAATTGAAATGCGTATGAGGATCGAGTTTTACCCGATTTCAAAGATACTATTTTTAGTGTTTTGTATTTAAAGCGCTCGAAGTAAAGAAAGCAGAAAATATATGGAATCGAAAAGTAGTACTGAAACTTAGATTGTAAAGAAACGTAAACTACGAAAATCTTAAATTTGCTTTAAGTGTAAAAGACAGGGAATCGAAACAGCAATAATGTAAATAACGAGAAATCGAATTTGCAGGAAATGTAAAGGATAGTAAATCAAAGGTGTAATAAATGACTGGAAATCGAAATTGCATTAATGTAAAATGACCAGAGAATTTAAACACGGAAACTTAACTTGCATTGAATCAAAATGACCAAGAATCGAAAATACAGAAACATAAAATAGCTGAATATAAACTGCATCAAAATAAATTACCAAGGAAAATAAAGAAAGCGATAAAGGTACTCCGTGAGCATGAAAATCCAGATTGCCAGAAGCTTCATGGTGTTTGTCGTTTCTCCGGTAGACTTTTTCACTACTGATTCTGTTCTCTGCCAATTTTCTGCTCCTTGTTCCTTCCTCCTTTGCTCTATTTATAGGGCATCATTCAAGCCTTCCAGGAGCAGTTAACAAAATTGCTATCACGTTCTACGTGCATGTTGCAGTTTATCTTCTACGGTTTCCCACGTTCTCACGATCTTCGACGTCTATTATGGTTTAGAAACTGCTTCCTATATGTGCGTTTGACTATTATTCCTTTCACAGTTTGGCCAAAATCTCGATGTCCATGTAGGTTGGCCTTCTTCACTTTCGATTTTGTGTTTTCGAGAACTCCAAATTGCTTATGATTCCTTTTTAACCTTGACCTCATATTGAAAGAATTAATGGTTGAGTTCAAGAGGGGGGTGAATTGAACTTTAAAACTTTTTCGCAAATCTTACTTTCTTTTGGAAGAATGAGTTATCTTTATTCAATCTTTGCAAAGGTAATTTGATTTAAACACAGCACAATTAAAGACAGAAATTAAAAGAGATGAAAGAAGAATATTAACACACAAGTTTATACTGGTTCACTCTAATCCAGAGCTACATCCAGTTCTTGACAAACCAGTCAAGTTCCACTAATACCAAGTGAAAATTACAACCAGTAGATACTCACCAATCTACCCCAAGAACTATCTTGCAAAACCCACAAGACAGAATCTTGAAAACCACCCAGTAACAACATCCAGTTACTGTACCAAGTGCAGATTACAATCCAACCTGCACAATCAAACTTTTACAAAAGAATAGGAAAGAAAAAACCTGGACTTGAAGTTTCTAATTGTCCAGAACCAATTCTATCAGCACTTTCTCTCTTTGAATGACCACAATTCTGATCACAGCACCTTATGATATGAAAAAGATTCTTGAATGCAGAGAAAGTCACGTATGAAAGTTTCACAGATTGATTTCACAAGTTTTCTCAAGTAGTGTGTTGTATTGTATTGTTCAAAAGATAGATCAAATCTGTATACATAGAGTAAATCAGAAAAACAGAACGTTTTATCTGTTAAAAACTGTTTTAGAGAGTCAAAAGATAAGTTGGTTAGCAGTAAAACAGGTTTAGAAGAGACTCTGATCGATTAAAACAGAAGAATGATCGATTAGACTGAGTTATGATCGATCAGAATAAAACTATGATCGATCAGAATGAGTTATGATCGATTAGAACAAAACTATGATCGATCAGAGTATTATTTCAATCGATTAAAAGATCGATTCAATCGATTGATTTCATTTAAAGTTCCATTTAATCGATTGATTCGAGTTTTAATGGATTAAAACAACTTAATGAAAAATGACAGCTCTGTTTCAATCGATTGAAAATCATTTCAACAGATTAAATTCCTGCAAACACTTAGTTAAAAAAAATAGTCTCTCTGTTTCAACAGATTGAAAAATATTTCAACAGATTGATTTTCTAAAAACTCTTAGACTGAAAAAGGTCTTTCTGTTTCAACAGATTTAAAATCATTTCAACAGATTGATTTTCTAAAAACTCTTAGACTGAAAAAGGTCTTTCTGTTTCAACAGATTTAAAATCATTTCAACAGATTGAAAATGCAAAACTTGATATTGAAAATTCATTGAGTTATTTTAACTTGTTGATTCCGCGAATCAATCAATTGAATTTTCGATTATGTATGACCATTTATTATGTTAAGTGATTTTAACAGATTGAAAATCCTTTTCAACAGATTGAAAAAACTTAGTTTATTCTTTTACTACTTAAACGTAAGTTTTTCATGCAGAACAATGATTTTTAATGAGATGCAACATTTTAAGGTGCTTATCACAAAATATAATGGCATATCAAGAGATTAAGTGCTTAAACTTAAAACCTTAATCATCTACACACCCACAACCTAAGTTATATCTATGTCTTCATCAAATCCACCAAGTGCTTCACATATGACTCTAATTTCTTAGTTTTTATTCGACAATAGACATTTGGCTATCATTCACTCGATTTTCGATTGTGCTTCTCGATGTTATGTGCTACGTACTTCTAATTAGACATCGAATGATTTTTTATCGATTTATCAATCAGTCACATTTCTTTCCTTCATTTTCGATCGCTTTTCTCGATTTGCCACTAACAAAATGCCCCCTTGGAAGAATATGAATAGTTTCTGTTTATATTCTTTCAATATTCCCGCCTTAGTATTTGGAGGCCAACAGAACTTAGGGTTTAGGGTTTCTGGGGTTCTAGGGTTTAAAGGGTTTTGGGTTTCTTTTTTGCTTTATGTCACCGTCTCGTCAGTCTGCTGCCTTACGGTACAAGCCACATTAATTACCTTTCGCCTCCATCGTTTCCAGCTCCCTAGGTGATTTTACCCTTAATCTTTTCATTGGTCTTTATTCTGGTTTTTTACGTGAACCTTTACCCTTTGCAACTTCATCTTCTTCCTTGAGCTCTTGTCTTCATCCCTGCGCCTTCATCTCTTACCTTGCTTTTCTTCACCCTACCAATTACTGAAATGGCAACTTCCTCCAAATCTTCTGACTTTTCTGCTCCACCTCTTCCTTCGCTGACGGCTCCCCTTCTGGAGATCAATAACCAGAAGTTTGCTCCAGTCCCTCTGATGGAGGAAGCTTCTCGGAAAATTGCTGAGACGCAAGTACTTATTCCTTACACTGCTGATGGTGTTAATTACGCTTTTGGGGGTCC